TGGGTTCCTATGACTATGGGCAAGCTTACACATGTATGTGGACATGCTTAGGTAGAGAGGCTAGGGTCAAGGTTGACGTGACTGACCAATGTACCGGAAGCTATCGTGAAACTGGCTGTCCTTGCTCGGGGCGCAGCAAGCTCCTGAGCACTTGCTCGTGGCGGAGTGTTGCAGTCCCTCGGCTATGAGTTGGTGAGGGCGCTTCTTTAGCACTTGGAGTAGTCAAAGCCGGTGGGTATCGACCTCTCAGGAGGCCTTGGGCCGATACTTGTTGGCTCAACGTCCTCGGTGGGCTCACGAGCCCCCGGGGGTGACTCCTTGGTGTCTGGCCTACTGTAGTTTCTGGCCAGGATGGCTTGTGCCTTCTGGTTCTTGAGCCCTCACGGTGCGACGAGATTGCAGTCGTCGTGTGTCCACTTCTGGGTGTGGTTGCTGCTCTCGGCGAAGAGCTCTAGCGACCTATCGCTATGGAAGCAGGTTCTGAGGGCAACGCGGTTCGGTCCGCTTAGCGCGGCGCGTGGAGCTCTTAGAGAGGCCACTTCCTTGGATGCACATGCCTCCGAGTGAAAGCTATTAGTTCACTGAGCTGTGACGGATGGTTTGTCTGCCATGCGGGACTAGGCCCTGGTTCCGGGTTTGGCCTTGCGAGGCGTGGCACCGGGTAGCCACCTAATCACCAACGTCCGGCGCCACATGGCGGTGGGTGATCTCGTCGCTCATGTATGCCCTAACATGGTGCATTCCATCGGTGGCGGAGACGCTGCGCTGGGCGTGTCTCTACCGCCGGACCTAGGATTCCCAGCGGTTGACCACGATGGGGTAGAAAGCGGTGATGGGCATCGACCCATTAGTGTGGATAACCTCATGGTTTCCCAAAAGGATGTGGCCGATTGAGGCCATTCCCTGTGTGAGTTCGCCAAGAGCTGTGGGCCTTTAGCTTCTTGGGTGGAAGATTTGGCCACCCCCTATGTAGGTGAACTCTAGGATGCTGCCACTGAGGGCAGTTCCGAGAGTGTGTCCTCCTTAGACCGTGGGGTCCAAATCTCCTATGCAGAGGTATGGGCCGTAGCTGAAGGCGGACGCGGGCGCTAGCCCTCTGACGCCAGTGAACTCATAGTTTTTGTGGCGGATGTGGCCTCCATGAGCCATTCTACGAGCGAGTCCACCGTTGGTGCGAGGAGCCATCACTTCCTTCTCAACAAACGAGAGTGCGTGACTGTCCCCTACCTGGCATGCCAGCTGTCGGTATTTTGTAAACCGAACTAGTAAATTTATACGATTGTCGCGCTACTTTAGGAAGTCGATGGTAGCATCCAAAAGATACAAGGATTTATACTGGTTCAGGCCGAAGCCTACGTCCAGTCTCAGAGTTGATCGGGTGCGTGTTCCTCTCTTGAATGCTCTAAAGTTCTTACAATGGGGGTGCAAAAATGGCGGAAGAGGTAGGAGTGCTAGAGCTAGAAGACGGGCTGCCCGAAGGGAAACTTCAGGAGCCCTTCTATGGTGTAAGAATGAGTGAATGAGTTTGGATCCCCAAGGTGGGTGCCTTGGCTGAGTTGGGGGCCAGGGCGTGTATAAAGAAGAAGGTTCTCCCGATCGAAGGGTCGTGAGCCTGAGGAAGGACATAGCTAACTTAGCTTGCAAGCTATGCCATTTTTGTGGTGCACGTCTGGGCGTGGTTGTCGTCACGGTCTTGTGGCCACGACACGGCATGGTGTGGCGTGGTGCTACTGTGCCGGTCATGGCGGCACTGTAGGCACAGTGGTGGTTCACCAGTTTTCATGTGCAACATGGTCTCCGTTGTGGTCTTCGTCATCGCTTCCTAGTTTTCTGGGGCATCGTACAGGAGTTGGTAGCCTCCCCTAGGTCGTCAATCATCCGGTTGGCTTGTGGAGCTGAGGGCCACGATCCCGATCATTGGGGTTGTGGCTCCATAGGTTTGGATGACCTCTAAGTCAAGACTTTTGCCGTGGATCTCATCCCATGGTAGGTAGAATCATACATGCGTCTTGTCAGGCCGTATCTGGCCGGTGGGCACTGTACCGGCTGTTATCGCCTTGGGCGGTGTTGTCTTGTCTGAGCTGTGTGGCGCAGGGGTGGTGTCTGACCGGACCAAGGCGACCGCTGTCCCCTCGGTCCTTGCAGGGTCAGTGTGACGTGCCTATTCCTGTTAGGTAGGCACGCTTGGCTGGGCTCGACCTCTCCCTATTCCTCCTAGGGGTCGAAGCGGTGGGGAGGTCATGAGTCTGTTGCACGTCGTGTGGCTAAGTCTGATGAAGGGGTCGTGGCCGACCCCGCCGTAGCGCTTGGCCTAGTTTTCTTGGATCAACTGGGCCTCGGTTGTTCGGGCTCTTGCTGGCTGATATACCGTGGGTCGCTTGGCCTGCTATCTAATCGGTGCCCTGAGACACATAACCCCGACATGATGCATTAAGAGATGGGGAAGCTGCATGCCATTAGATTAACCTAGCATATCGAGTAGGATGGTAGATTTGGTGGATAACTTTGGAGATTTCACCTTCTTATTCCTTCTTTCATTTCCTTTCCATTCTAGAGTGAGGAGATAGAAAGAGAGAATTGGTAGCGAGTGGTGTGGTTGTTGGAGGTAGGCATCAGATGTTGTTGGTCGTGGACAACTCGTACTGACAAGTGGGGCCATAGGTTGTGAGGTGTGGACAATACACAATCTACAAGTTGTTGAGTCATAGTATCCTGACGGATAGTCTGACACAAAATCAAACGGTTGATCAGACCTGATTGGGTTGAGCAGGAAAGATTGGTCAATGGGCTAACACTTCTTTCAAGGCCTTCTTTAGTTGCCTAAATTTGGCGCCGCTAAAAACACTGGAACACACTGTAGATGCACGGTAGCATTTCATTTGTATTTGGTAATAATTGTCCAATCGTTGATTAATTAGGCTCAAAACGTTCGTCTCGCAGGGTACAACTAAACTGTGCAATTAGTTTTTGATTTCGTCAACATTTAGTACTCCATGCATGTACCGCAAGTTTGATGTGACGGAGAATCTTTTTTTTTTATATAGTGTCAAAATTGGAAATTTGGGGTGAACTAAACATGGCCCAAATAGGCCGACACAACAAGTGGACGATTCGAAGGACTAGTTTGGACTTCCCCAGCTCTAACTGTTTAGTCACATGCTTAGGGAGTACAAGGGTAGTGTCTCATATCCTTGATTTTGTTCGACTCTGGTAGTGCCATGATCTCTTTCCCTTTGGTTTCTCGATGTAAACCACTACCACCTCCCCTTGTTTGGCTTTCAAATTGGGGATGAGTGGCGCCACTGCATTGCTGTCTCACTTGGGGTGCCAAGGGTCTATCTCATATGACTCTTATCCAAGAAGGGTCTGGCAGCTTCGCTTTCTAGTTCATGTCAATTCATAGGGTTTAGCAAACCAGAAAACAATCTAGATAGAAACTTGTAGGTCGGGTGGCTCAAGAAGATAACTGGAAGTAGATACTTGCGAGCGTTAACTTGTAGTTTGGACTTGCTAATTTGGGATCCCGTGGCAAGCAAAAGCCCTAATATCACATTGTTACTCATACGTGATTGTAGGAGAAGTGATAGTAACAAGGATAGGGGGTTAACAACTTGGTGCTTTTAGCACCTCGGGGTGGCAAACATTTAAAAGCGAAACCTAAGGCACATTGCTAGGGGAAACATTATGTGGATTGAACAAGGTTTGGGCGATCTGAATCTGTTGAGGGCGACATGGTTGACAAACCTAGGGGAAACGTGAGTGCATGGCTTAATCACTCGAGGAGCACAAAGACAGCCTGTGTGAGATAGTGAGCTCCTACAAGGGTGTGGTTTAGTTCGATCGGGTGTCTAGAGTGGGCTAGACCAAATAGAGAGTGACTCCTAGAGGGGCTCCATCCATCCCACATGCTAATTAGCGGTGGTAAGGATGCACGTCTGATTGGTCGAGGTCTGACTCAAGAGGTTACTCATGGCTAGACTCCTCTAGAATGCTTCTAAGGTTAGTTGAACTTCATTAAGGAGGTGGATCTAGTCCCACTATTATTTAACAATTTTTTATCAAGGTTGGGTTTCTAAGTCATGCTATTCTATACACCCTAGTACTAATAAAGTATGATAATTTGTTTTGTCCCTCCCTCACTTCTATCCTTGTTCTCCTATTTTTCAATCTCTCGTCCCTCGCTCCACTCTTCTTGCTTTCATGGCAAGAGTCTGAGACTAGGGGCTCAGCGCAGGTAGACTATATCCTCCTCGATATGGCACCATTTACAATTAGTAGTTGCAAAACCTTCATTGCGGCTGCACCACTCATGTTATGGTGTTATGGTCTGGCCAGCCGAGCCTGAGACTGTGCGTGTCAATGTGTCATGGCTCAGCATGGCTCAACGCGCTTGAGGACGTGTAGCTTGCCTTCCACCTTTCTCAACCTCATAACATGTGTACACGATAACTATCTATTTAAAATGAGTCGATCGTGAGCCTGGGCTAGGTTTGTTTGTCCTAAGTCAAACTTTTAAACTTCCATAGTTAGCATACTAAATTTATATAATACTACCAACATAAGAATGACAATATTAGATTCATCATGAATGATACTTTCATGTATACCTATTTTAAGATAATATTCTTCTATAGAGATTACTAGTTGAAGCTTGGAACGGTTGACTTGGCAAACTTAGATGTTCGGAGGAAATAATTTTTACAACCACTTGTCGAACTGGACAAGGTTTTTTTTTTCTTGAACTAATGTGATAATTTCTGGTTATAATCTATATTAGGGGCATGCTCAGAGAAGTGGTTTTGTGCTCAAAATCCTTAGGATTCAGTACAAATTGATTTGAAGTAAACCATTGAAATTTCTTTAGCAACCCATCTCTTCCGGACATGTCGTAAATGTAAAATTTCTACGTCTTTCATAAGATCAGATATCAAATAGGAGACTCAAAGTACTTGGACGAGATGGGTATCGCTGCATGCTTGACGTAAGCAAAAATCTAGGCACTAGAGTTTCTTGAGCATGATATGCGCCCCGTGTTCCGGCTGCAAAGTGGACACCGGGAACGGTGCGTGAGTGTAGGACTGCGAGAGACCGAAGGAGAAGTGCTGCAGGATGCTGCTGAGCGCCATCTTGGCCTCGACCAGCGCGAAGCTCTGGCCCACGCAGATCCTTGGACCCCAGCCGAACGGGAAGAATGCCGGCGAGTCCTTGGACGCCCTGGAGATGCCGTCCTTGAACCTCTCCGGTCTGAACTCGTCGGCGTCCTCTCCCCACACATCCTTGTCGTGGTGAATGAAGACGATCGGTAGCGAGAGTAGCACCCCAGGCGGGTACGTGACGCCGCCCAGCTCCACCTCCTTGTACGTCTGCCGATCCAGTTGCACCACTGGCGGGTACAGCCTGAGAACCTCGTACAGTATCATGGTCACCTGCAAGGACCAAACAAGGACAGAAACGACCGTGTCAGACTTCCATTTCCGTGAGAAGTCGTGGGAGCAGAGCAGAGCACAGGCCGGCGAGCGAGTACTGACGATTTTCAGCTGCTGTATGCCGTCCAAGTCCGGCTGGTTGTCTCCCAAGACACTTTGAACTTCCTCCCTCGCTCGGTGCTGCCACTCCGGGTGCACACTCAGGAGGACCATCGTCCACGTGAGCAGCACAGCGGTGGTGTCCATCCCGGCGAAGTAGAACAGCTTCAGCTCCCCGATGATGTCGTCCATGGTCATGATTGGCTTGGAGTTCCCGGCCTGTTTGGTCTCGGCAATGTTGGATTCCATCATCAGGCCGAGCAGGTCGTCGTTGTTGGCACGGCCTTCTTTCATGGCCCTCTCCCGCTTGCTGACGATGCCTCTCAGAAGCGCCTGGAGCTCTCGCGCATTTGCCTTTATCCTTCTGTTTAGCTGTGTTGGCAGGAATCTGAAGAAATTCACCATATCAACAAGAACACGTAAATCGATCATGTGCAACTGCAACTGCAACTGCAATCTCCAGATGTAGGAGTACGTTCTTACCTGAAACCAGGGAGGTACAGGCTGTTCATCAGCTTCACTAGATTCTGAACTTGCTCGCACTGTATTTCGAAAATCCTCCTCCCCTCGCCGAAACTGCTGCCGAAGGCCGTGCGCGAGATCACGTCGCCGGTGAGATTTTGGAACTCCGGCCAGACATCTATCTCCTTCGCTCCGTCAGACTCCACGTAGCCCACCCATCTGGTTATCAGCTCGTTTGAGCACGCAGCAAACGCAGGGAACATTTTCTGCAGAGCAACCAAGCATCATATCCGACGACAAATGTCAGGTGTACTCTGAATCCGTCGAAGAACAAGCATAAACAGTAAGGTTGCATCAGCATCACTGGTACTTGTGAAAGTAGCGACCTTGAGCTTCTCGAGGTGAAAGGCCGGGTTGATGATCTTGCGGTGCGCGGCCCATTTCTCACCCTCGTGGTTCACCAGCCCGTTGGAGAGCCGTCTGACGATGCCGGTGTGCTTGCGTTTCTGGAAGTGACCAAACTTGTTGGCCATGATCTCCCGCACCAGCTTGGGGTCGTTCACGATCACCCTCGGCGTCGGACCGAGCCAGGTAACGGAAATTTTACCTGCAATTCATGTTTATTTTCCTTCGCTTGCATTGTCTTACGGTGGAAATGTATATGAACTACTACGAACTTTTTTTTAAGAAAGAACGGCAAAATCTTTGCCGTAATTTTTATTAAACGAAGAAAAAAAAACAAGATTATTTACAAAAACGACTCGCACGTCCCGAACAACGACTTGGACAAACTAGAAACCACTACGAAGAACAAAAGAGGAAAAACAGAACCAAAACTACGAACTCTGTTCTTTGAATTGAATACAGTGACGTGCTTACCATGTTCCCTGATGACGTTGTAGTAGAGGCGATTCACGCGCGGCGTGATGTCGTGCGAGAGGCGGCATGGGCTTGGCCCGGGCAGCCATGGCCAATCGCGCTAACTCCTTGAGGTCGCCGAACGGGAAGCGGTACGTGGTGCCACGGAGGCCCTGGGACTGCAGGGCCCGACCCAGCCTCCGCGGGACGATTAGGGTCGACTCCAGCACGCGGCACGCCCACCAGAGGGCCATGAGCGCCGCAAGAAAACCGAGCAAGCTCCAGGGCTGTAACAGTGCGCCGATCGCCATGGCGGCGGAACCTGCAGAGTTTGATGAGTGGCTCTACGGGATAGTTGTAGGAGGAGAGGAGCAGCTGCACTGTGGCGGCACAGTTATAGGGAGCGGTGAAAGGAGAAATTTTGCGGCGCCTAGCGATCATTGGACGTATCCGCTTCGATGGAACAACCAAAAGCTTCATCTGCGATGACTGTGTTGCTGACGTGCTCTGCCATCAGCGCTTACGTGCCTGCCCTCTGCCATCAGCGCTTACGTGCCAGCCCTCATGTCAGCATCCATGAACAGGAAGAAAGAAGTGAAGAAACGGGGATGAATCCGAGGTTCTTCCGTGCTTGCGTTGCGCCAAACATGACCTGCCAAAATGAATTATTTGGCCCCTCAACTTTCCCCATGTGCTCAGTTTGGTCCTCTTTACTTTCCCCATGTGCTTTAATTTGGTCCTCTTCATGGTTTAGAAGTTTCAAGGCTTTAAGATTTTTATAAAAGTGCTAAATAATAGAATTTTGAAAGTGACAGATAAGCTGATAGGACCATCACAGACGGCCTTTATTCCGGGTCGTTATATCATGGAAGGAGTTGTGATGTTGTATGAAACGATCCATGAGCTGTATAGGAAAAAAAACAAGATGGTGTGATCTTAAAACTAGACTTCGAAAAGCATACGACAAATTAAAGTGTCCTTTTATACAACATGTCCTTGGAATAAAAGGATTCTGACTAACTTGGTGTGAATGGATTTCAAAAGTCATGTCCAGAGTGAGTGTTGCAGTAAAGGTTAATGATAATTCAGGCCATTATTTTCAAACTAGGAAAGGAGTGCGGCAGAGGATCCGTTATCTCCAATCCTGTTTAATATAGTGGTCGACATGTTGGCTATTCTTATTTCACGGGCTAAAGAGGTTAAAAAATCCAAGGGATTGTTCCACATTTGGTAGATAAGAGACTTTCAGTCCTTCAGTATGAAGATGACATTGTTGTCTTTATGGACAATGATATAGAGCGGGCCAAAAACATGAAGCTTTTACTTTGTGCTTTTGAATAACTATCAAGACTAAGATCAATTTCCGTAAGAGCGAAATGTTTTTGCTACGGAGCAGCCAAAGCCAATCAAAACGAATATACACAAATTTTTTGGTGTGATTTTGGGTCGTTCCTGTTTAGGTATTTGGGAATTCCTATGGATCATAGAAAACTTATGAATAAGGACTGAAAACATGTTAAAGAAAGATTTCAAAAGAGGCTGAATTGTTGGAGAAGTAAGATATTGTCTGTAGGAGGGAGGTTTGTTCTGATTAACTCTGTATTGAGCAGTCTCTCCATGTTCATGCTATCATTTTTTAAAATGCCTAGAGGGGTTCTCAAGAAGTTGGATTATTTTAGGTCATGGTTTTTTTGGCAGAGTGATGAACACAAGAAAAAATATAGATTGACTAAGTGGGAGGTAGTATGTACACCGAAAGATCAAGGGGTTGGAAGTCCTAAATTTAGATGTTCATAACAAGTGTCTCCTAAGCAAATGGTTTTTTAAGTTGCTGAATAGAGATAGGGTTTGGCAACAATTGTTTAGGAATAAATATCTAAGAGACAGAAATTTGACACAGGTTCAATACATACCTGGGGACTCCCAGTTTTGGACTAGCCTCATGAAGGTCAAGGGGGAGTTTCTCTTTGGGTAAGTTTGATCTAGGTGACGGGTCTCAAGTACGATTTTGGGATGACTCGTGGATATGACTGCGTCCATTAAAATCTATCTTTCTCGCACTATATAATATTGTTAGGAGAAAAGGCGCATCTGTAAGAACGGTGTTGTCTATGACACCATTAAATGTGGTTTTCAGGAGATCTCTGGTAGATGTTAATTTACAAGCAAGGTACGATGTGGTCGCTATGGTTACAGATGTACAGTTAACAAATCAAAGTAATCGCTTTGTGTGGGGGCTACATCAGAATGGGTTGTTTTCAGTCAAATCTATGTACAGAGCCTTATTAGGAGCCGAAGCTATACCATATAACACATTAATCTGAAAACTAAAACTACATATCAAAATCAAAGTATTTATGTGGTATTTGTATAAGGGAGTAATCTTAACGAAGGATAATTTAGCAAGGCGGCATTGGCAAGAAGATAGGAAGTGTTGTTTCTGTTCTTGTGACGAGTCTATACAACATTTACTTTTTGACTGTTTATGTTTCCTTTAATTTAATACCTCCAACTAGTGTACACAATTTGTTTAAAGGTTGGCTAGGTGGGATAAATAGGAATTTGAAATCTCATATTCTTGTGGGTGCAAGTGTAATTTGTTGGGCAATATGGTTAACCCGAAATGATATAGTTTTTGACAATGTCATAGCACAATCTTATTTACAGGTTATCTTCAGAAGGACCTGCTAGACTAGGTTCAGTCCCTGTCTCTATTACAATAGACCAATTAAAACCATACAAGTACACCCACAAAACGTCCCCCGACCATAAACACTGTACATCAAAGCTATTGCATTCAGAAAGTCGTCTTCATTAAAATAAAAGACTAAAAATCATCCCTGAGTGGCAAACCCAATCCTATGGCCACGGTTGATTGTATCGACTGGATGATGAGGCTTCATCGCACCGCGGGATCCGTCGTGGCATGCAAAACCTGCGACCCTGGCCAACAGCCGCATGCAAAATCACGTGAAATCAGCACCACTCCCAAATTTGACACATGCAAATCAACGCACTCACAAATTGGCGTGCCTTTCCATCTTTTTTGTATCCGTAGAAACGCCCTCGTGCAGGAGTCGAGGCCGGCCGCTTCCGCTTCTCCGACGCCGGTCGCTCGAGCCCGCCTGTTATACGCCCCCAGGCCGCACGCGCGAGGCGCCATAGCCGGCCGCTCGATCCCGCCGCCCCTGTCCGGCTGCGCGATCCGCGTCAGGCACGGCAACTCCGGCGTTGACCCATTTTTCCTTTGCCCTGTGATCGTCTCCAACAACCACGACCTAAAATACAAAATCCATTCATCTTTTGGCTAGCGCTACGGCAAAGGGTTTAATACCTATTTTTTTTATCTTTTCAAAAAACAAGACTCAAAAGATAACTCTCTTTATAAATGGGTGTTCAGGAGAGAGGATACTCAGATTTAGGTTATGTCTTTTTTAACACCTAAAATAAGTCTTTCATATAGGTATTATATTGGAAACTATAGATATTATGTTAGCCCATTTTAAATTTAGGTTCCACGATGGTGACCTGTTGCAGACAGGCTAAGCCCCATCTCGACCCAACGCCGGCGCGACCTCACCAGCCATGGCTTCCCGACACAACAGTTTCGCACTACTGCCGTGCCGCGCCGATCGAAGGACACAGCCCCCGCGCTACCGCGACCGCGGCGCCCTAATCACTTGCTCGGCAGCTGCACCTAGATCCTGGTCGCGCGGCATCTTCACACGGCGGACACGAGCCGAACATAACCTCCGCCGAGACGACCAGGGTGATCTCCATCACCGTCTTCATCACCACGTGAAGACACCACACGTCCAGGAGATCGACCGTTGGAGACGCTGCCGTCGATCTCACCAGACCAGGGCGATCTCCATCGCCATCTTCATCACCACGTGACGCCACCACAAGCCCACATCTAGAGTTCGCGGTTTGGAGGCTCTTCCAGACGCCGCGGAGGAGGCCACGCCTGTTAGAAGACTTGCAGGTTAGCATGATTTTGTGCTTTCTGATTGGCCCAAAACTATTGAGTCAATGTTCGTTCATACCATCTTTATTTTATCTGGGAATGAGTCAATCCCAGATTGCATCTGACATCTGCAAGTTCATTCAGCACTTGCAAAGCATCTTTATTTTAAGCACGGGAATGGTAACACACATGTCAAGCAGTGATGGTTGTCTTTGAGTAAAACCGGCAATGGCTCCAGCCTCCATCAGCAGAGGCATCACCGTCACCTACATCCTAAAGAGAGAGAGATCAATATGCAGAATCCCTGAAATGGTTCAGTAAGAGTCTTCCTGAAATCCCATGATGAAAAATTGATAATCAACATGCAGAATCCTAAATATATGAAGCACATAGAGACTGCTACATGTTTGTCATGAATGTAAACTCAGTAATTTGTGCTTGGAATCTCAATATTCAGCTTGAAAGAATATGATATGACATAATCCAGTAACCGAGACAATACACATATAACACACTGCAGGTTAGCAACATACCGCTTAGCATTTGGCATTTCATTTGTCAGGTGATTTGTTCTTATTTTTTATCTGTTGACAAACAGGAGAGGAAATTTATTTATATAGAGACCAAAGCTGTATAGAGAGCAAAGCTGTACAGAAATATTTGCAAAGGACTTTACAAAGAAGAAGCAAAAAAGAAACTAGTGATTTGTTCTTTGTTACAGATGCTTTTGTATTACTAGAATCATGCCCGTGCATTGCCAAAATAATAACACGATAATTTTATGTTTAAGCATATGTTGTACTATTATCAAAAATCAATTCTTTAGGACACAATTCCATTTGTAGCCAATTCCTTCGCTTGTCTGACAGTAAAAATGGTCAACACAAATTCTACATAAGTGCTTGACAGTAAAAGCGGTCGCTGAGTTTATGGACAGTTCTCGGCCCCTGCTGCCGAGCCGCCGCAGCCCTCAGTGTCGCCTCCCTCCCGCACCTCGCCGCCATCCGCGCCTCCAAGGAGGAGATGGAGGTCAAGCCGATCAGGAGAAGAGGAGTGAAGCGCTGAGTCACTATGGACGAGCTCTCCGGCTGTCCGGCACCATGCCTCCCTGGAGGAGACCCATCCTCGCTGTGCAGCCCGCTCATCGCGCCGCCCTCCCCGCGGCCACGCACGCTCGCAGCGCTGGCCGCTGGCTCTCCGCGCCGGCCGCACACGCTCGCAGCCTGCTCGCGGGCTCGCTGTGTCACCCTCGACCTACCTCGACGATGGCCACGGCCCCCGTCCGCC